CATAACACAACATATGTATCTGATTCATATCTAACTCTCCAATTTCATGTCTCCCCTCCCTCCCCCAACCTATGCTGAACTGGGGAAGTATGCACAATATACCAGTCTGTTTTTCAGGGCCTTTGCTCATCCAGCTTCCCCTGCCTGCAATATACTTTCTTTATTGATCTTGCAAACAATTGTTCTTTTAAGTTCCTACTCTAGCTTTTCTCATTTAGGAAGATTTGACCATTCTTTAGATGTACCTCCACTGTACCCACTTACATAATTTTATTCAGCACCCATAATACTTTAAAAATATTTTCATTGATTTTTAGAGAGAGGGAGAGGAAGGCAGAGAGATAGAAACATTGATGAGATCGTGTGCCTCCTGCATTTCCCCTACTGGGGATCGAGCCTGCAACCTAGGCATGTTCCCTGAGTGGGAATCAAACCAATGACCTTTGGGTTTATGGGTTGATGCTCAACCACTGAGCCACATCAACCGATCTCACCCGTAATACGTTATTGCACTTATGTATTTGCATAACTATTCTTTGTCTTATAAACTCAAGCTTCAGGAAGGCAGGGCCTTTGAATAATTGATATCTCTATCCAGACACCTAGTCCAGTGCCTAGCATAAGGAGACAGTAAATATTGAATGAACTAATGGATACTTAATGAAAACAAAGCAGTGGGCCAACCCAATAAGACACAATAAAATCTCATCAATTTACTCTGAGGATCAGGCCACTATGAATAGTGAAAAATATGATTATATCCAGTGACTACCTCCTCTCTCCTATGATGTCTCCTTTTGGGCCACTATTAGACATTGTGCAGACCTCTGTTATATTCCCACTAACCGTGCTGCTTTATAATGCTCTTTATGTATCTCTTTCCCCCTACTAGACCAAGAGCTTCTTGACCCTGTCTTATTCATCTGTATATCTCCATCGAATAATCCATAGTAGGTGTTCAATAAATATTTGTTGAATTAAAATTAATGAAGTTGAACCAAGTTAATCAAAGGAGTGTCTTGTAAAGGCCTGGGGATTTATCTCAATGACCATGAGAATAATATCTGTCTTATATTTTAAAGATACACAAGGGGCTGACATTTACATATATTTCAATTTTCTATTTGCTTTAGCACACATACACTTTTTTTTTTTTAACCAAGGTCACATATAAACTCCAACTCAGCTGAAGTTTCTGATTATCATGGATTTCAAATTAGGGAAGTCCAAATTAGAGAGGCTTTCCCATACGGTGCCTTGCCTTGTTTCGTTTTTGTTAATATTCATATACATCTGGGTTTGGACAAGGTGGGCACTTGTGGATGTGGCTAATCTGTACAAGTTTTTATGGGCCTGATGAAATTTCTTTTAAATTCTTAATGTTGTTTATTATTTATAATTAGGAAAAAAATTAAACTATAAAGCCAAAATCTCTTACCTTCCATGCTGTTACTACAGTTTAAATCATTTAAATTACAGGGATCTCAGCAGATTGCTTGCTTTTCTTCTTAATTACAAGGCTTTTGTTTTGGGCAACAGTAAGAAAAACGGGATACCCTTGGCTGGTGTGGAAAGGGAATGGTGGGGAAGGAGGACCTTGCTTGTATTAACTTCATAGTTAATGCGGTGATTTCCTTATGGTATTCCACTTTAGAAACGTGCTTACAAGACCTATGTCAGAGCACTTCCTCTGCTGAAGAAAATGGGGATCAATTCCATCCTCCTCCGTAAAAGCATTGGTGCGCTTGAGGTGGCCTGTGGCATTGTCATGACCCTTGTGCCTGGACGTCCCAAAGATGTGGCCAACTTCTTCCTGCTTTTGCTGGTGTTGGTTGTGCTCTTCTTCCATCAGCTAGTCGGTGATCCTCTCAAACGCTATGCCCATGCCCTGGTGTTCGGAATCCTACTCACCTGCCGTCTGCTGATTGCCCGAAAGCCTGAAGACCGGTCTTCTGAGAAGAAGTTCTCACCCCAAGGAAACGTAGGAAATGCGGGGAAAGCAGAGGAGCAGCCCTCCTTATATGAGAAGGCCCCTCAGGCCAAAGTGAAGTTGTCTTAGGAAAGTGAAAGTGCAAAAAGTGGACCTTCCAGGCAGTTGCCTCCATGACACCCAGGAAGATGTCAGTGTGTGTTTTTCATTTGCTTTATTTATCTTGGAGGGAAGGGAAAATATAATCTACAAGTTAATGGCCCTGTTGGTTTGTGTACACCTATACCCTAAAATGACCTCCCACATAGACAGACATATGTGCACCATCTTTAATCACTCTGGGGCAACTCTCACATCTTGCTGCATGTACATGTATACGGCTAACTACTGAAGTGTTTTTATGAGATGGACTCTAGCAAGCATGTGACTGTGAGACTGTATGTGTGGGAAAATATATTTACTATGTATCTGCATGCACACGTGGAGGAGAAGGCTCTGATCTTGAACTAATCCTGCATAGGTATCCTTCCCTTTACAAATCCAGTCTAATGGAAGACAGAATAAAATAAACCTCCTATAAAGAGAACCTACTTTTGATATAAAATAAATGGGATGGAGGAATCCCTTGATAGATTAAACTGAAAACTTAAACCTACCACTTTAAGAAAAAGGTCCTTCAATTTAAGGCACTGAGTTATATGTAAAATTAATTAGCCTCTACTTTTAACAGTTGTTTAAGTTTTAATACTTCATATTGATTTAATTAAAATAAGGAATATATATGCAGTCAATAGATAATCTAGTTCTTCAAATGATGAAATTTTAAGTTTCACCTTGCTTTTGTCCAAGCCCAACCTACTAAGCTCACAGTTTGAAACTGAAGCAGTAAACGTGTGTTTTTGTTAATTTTCTTAAGCCCAAAGCTGCCTCGCTTCCATTATCCTCAGCAGCTAATCAGGATTTGGCAGCTTCTCCACTGCTGTGGCTTAGGGAGCAGTGATTTGTACTGTTAGAAGTCTGCGGATCTCAAATTGTTCTCTTAAATCATGTGAAATTTGACTGAAGAGTTGTACCCAGTGTTCCCCTGACAAATAGATTCACTACTCCTGTTGAATTTTCACTGAACTTTGCTAGTGTAAGCAGAGATCTAAGTTACCCCCAATGTTGTCACCTCTACAGTTCTTTATTATTCCAGTGGGTGGAGTTTAGCTGAGGGAAGGACATTTGATAAGGGTTACTTGGATCCAGCAGTATGAAAATTTGCTTTCTTCATTACATACTGGTGTTTCTTCTTGTTAGATGTGCTTTGATGGTTTTGATATTGTGCCAGGGATGGAAGAAGGGGTGGGGGTGTTTTGTGTGTGTGGAGTAAATTATTGTATTTCTTCAATGTCATTGTTCTTACTAATTGATACTTCTCTGTCTTATTTCTCTCATTCTTTCAAAATAAAAAAATTGAAATTTGGAGGAAACTGTTGAGACAAATGATGGAAGTCTGTAAATGGTCATATCAAGAGATTTGGGCTCTTTTTTTGCCTGGATAAGGGAGAAGAAAGAGAATATATTAATATATTAATGAGATTACCAACTTTCCAATCTCATTTAGGTTCCTTCCTCTACTAACCCAGTCTAATGAAGACAGAATAAACCTCTTAACAAACCCCTTAATAAATATTTTAACAAACCTCTGTGATAGAAAGCTATAGATTTAGGAACTCAATGCAATTTCCAGGTGTGGGGAATTCTGCTTCATTAGGTGATGCCAGGGGAAGGTGGAAGAATGGTTTCAGAGAAAATTGCAGGTATATTAAATAAAGGTGAACTAGTTTCTCTCACTATATGTGTCCACAATGTGGCACAAGTTCCAGTGCCACAACTTGTCACATTAGCCAAGTTATTTCCTCACTCAAGGCCCCAGTTTCATCACCTATAAAAAAGAAAGGGGATTGAAAGCTTAAAATCCCTTCCAATTTACAACTGAGTCTATGAAATGATTAAAATGACTCTTGAGGAATGTTCAGTTTTAGTAGAAAAGGAAGAACAGCTACCATGAAAATAATGAACTCTCATTTCTCATGCATTATTAATGAGTTAAAGTGCTCTGAAAAGCCATACAAATATAAAATGTGGTCAACAGTCATTTCTGCTGTAATCTCCCTAATACATCAACTTAACTTTTGATTCTCCATTTCTCCCTAAAATAGCCAAGTTTCCTCCTACAGTTTTACCTACAGTTTATAGATACGTTTTGACTTCAAAAAAATCAGCGAGAGCTGTTAAATTGGTATCTTTCCTCTCTGATTCCTACTCTAGTAAGAGATTAAACTAGGGACTAAGCTCAGGTCTCACACTAAGCCCTTGTTGCTATTTTAGCCAATTTCTTTAAGGTCCATCACTCCTCAAAGTTAGGAATTTTTATGCGTAGACCTGGCTGGTTATGTGCAAGGTGCCACATCTAGCCCAGGACACGTTTTTAACAAACCCTGGAAGGTATGGGTACCTATCCTCGGTACAAGGAGGGTAGATTCAGCCTTTTTTTTTTTTTTTTACCCCCCTTTCCACCTCCTAGTTTCACAGAGAAAGTGACAGCTTTAGAGGTCACAGACCCTTTAACCTGTCTCTTGCCCAGCATAGGAGAGTCAGTCCTTACTGCAGTTTGCAGTTTCATATTTTCCCGCCAAATCCCGACGTTTGGAGTCAATCTGGGCAAAACCATCGCTAGAATTAATCTTGTTAAGTTCAAGAATTCAGACGCTGATCGGTTTTACGCAAAATAAAGAATGTGAACGTTGTTAGGACAGCTGAAACGCCAGCCAGTCAGTTTGCTCCAGCCTCAACGGCCCACTCACCACAAGTTCCCTGGGCCTGGCGGGCGGGGCCAGCGACATCCCCGGATCGGGTCGCGTCTGCGTCTGCGTCACAGCCGCGTCGGCGCGCGCGCGCGCGCTGTGCTGAAACCAACCAATCAGATTTCAGCACCACACGGCCCGTTGCCCGATCGCCTCCTGCGCCTGCGCGGAAGAGTGCGCGCCGGGCGGGGCCCGCTAGTTTGAATCCTGAGGGGGATGTTTGAACTCCGGAGGTTCTGGGACCGAGAAATGTGTTAGGTAAGGTGTTTTTAATGCCGCGTGAAGGGGCAACTCCGAGATCGAAGAGAAGCTCCTTGACTTCGGAGCAGGACGACCCTGCAAGGTGTGGCTGGGGGCGGGCTTTCCCGGAGCCCGGGAAGCGGAGGAGCTGGGGGGCGCCTGGGGAAGCTACCTCAACCGGGTGGGTCTGAAAAGCTGTTCGCTTGCCTTTCTGTGGTAGGAATATAGGAAACAACTCGCAATATGGAATCTCCCACAGGATTAGACACACATACTGCTCTCCCGCTCCGGCCTCATCTGTTTTAGGGAGGTGGGATTGAGTGTCATTCTGACCATTCCTTTAGTTTTAGTCATTTGAAGCCAAAAATTTAGAAGTCTTCTGGGTTCCTCTCTTTCCTTCTCCCTACATCATGGCCTTGCCCAGCCTGCCTCCAACATAAATCACAAACAATCATTTTCTACCTTTTTCGCCGCTGTACATTAGACCTAGTTCAGGCTACAGTTATATCTCTTCAGGACCTCTGCAAGACCCTTTTTTATTGTCTAAAGTTTTACATATGTCTCCTTTTTCCCCAGTTGACCCCCCCAAGCCATTCCCACCCTGGGCAAGCCACCACCGCCTCATTGTCTGTGTCCATTGGTTATGCTAATATGTATGTATACAAGTCCTTTGGTTGCTCTCTCCCCCCTCTCCCCCACCATTTGTCTCTGGATCTGTTCTTGTTCATCAAATTATGTTGATCATTATATCCCACATAGGAGTGAGAGCGTATGATATTTTTCTTTCTCCCACTGGCTTATTTTGCTTAGCATAATGCTCTCCACTTCCATCCATGTTGTTGCAAATGGTAAAAGTTCCTTCTTTTTTATAGCTGCACTGCTGGTGGGAAAGCAGACTGGTGCAGCCACTGTGGAGAACAGTATGGAGTTTCCTCAAAAGTTAAAAATGGAACTCCCATTTGACCCAGTACCCTCTTCTAGGACTGTATCCCAAGAAACCAGAAACACCAATCAGAAAGGATATATGCACCCCTGTGTTCATAGCAGCACAATTCACCAGAGCTAAGATTTGGAAACAGCCTAAGTGCCCATCATCAGATGAGTGGATTAAAAAACTGGTATATCTACACAATGGGATACTGTGCTGCAAAACCCTTTTAATTGCTCTGTTTCCACTCCTTGACCTCTAGCATTCTGTTCTTCATACTGCAGCTAATGTGGCCTTAAAACATAAATCATATGATATTACTTCCCTCTCTAACACTCCTCCCTACCCAGATAGCTGCCACTTAAAATCCAAACTCCTTACTCTAGCATACAAGTCCCAGTATGGTAGTTCCTGGCTGCCTTTCTGACCTCACCTCCCACAACCCTCTGCCTCTTTGATCTCACTAACACCCTCCCCCTCACTGGAGTTGCTACTGTTTTCCTAACAGATAACGTTTTTGCTTCAAGGTCTTAGCAAGTCTTAGTCTTGCTTTTCCATGAAATACTCTTCTGGCACATCTTCTCATAGCTGGATCCTTTTTGGCATACAAAAGTCAGTTTAAAGGTCAATCAGGGAGGCTTTCTGTGAACACTTATTCCAAAGTAGTTTCTCATTGCTACCTCATTTCTATCACATCACTGTGTATTATGTTCACTATTAGCTATATACTTATCGACTCTCACACTTCTCCCCACCCCCATGAGTTTCATGAGAACAGAGACCTTGACTATTACCTTATCTTATCCCTGGTAGCTAGAACTGTGCTTGGAATATAGATGATGTTGAATAAGTGAGTTAATTAATGGGGAATTTTTCTATTCTGACAATTCTTAGTTTGCACACCAGTTTGAATTTTGAACTGCAATTTTAACATAGCACTGATAAAGTAGGGAACATAAAAGATGAAAATAACATTAAGGAGAGGTGGAGAAAAATAGGAGTGATTGGAGAAAGTAATATTGAGTTCATGAGATGGCTTAATTTTGGACACACTTATTTGATAAAGCCATTTTAAGAGAATTGCTATGTTGCCCATACCCTTTTTTTAAAATAATTTAAAAAAATATATTTATTGATTTTTACAGAGAGGAAGGAAGAGAGATAGAGAGTTAGAAACATCGATGAGAGAGAAACATCGATCAGCTGCCTACTGCACACCACTGGGGATGTGCCCGCAACCAAGGTACATGCCCTTGACCAGAATCAAACTTGGGACCTTTCAGTCCGCAGGCTGATGCTATATCCACTGAGCCAAACAGGTTTTGGCTGTTGCCTGTACTCTTACTGTTTTATTTTTCTTCAGGAAGGCCAGTTCAGCTGGTCAGTGCTAACTTGGAGAGTTGTCTTTCTCTATTCCTTCTTAGGTCAAAGGCTTTCTGAGAAAGCTAACCTATAAATTTTGTTGTCCAGATTTTTGTCAGTTTTTTTTATGGTGTACTTGTTGTATGTTAGGTACTATATACTAAATGTTTAGAATACATTCAGATGTGGTCCTTGTCTTTGTGGAGTAGAATGGGACGCGTTGGTTGGTTAATGGTAATGACACTTGTTTCTGTATAGAACATGTGCAGTAATGTCAACTCAAAAGAGAATTAAGAATTCTCAGACATCAAGAACTTCACAACATAATAATAGTTATCAGACTAATCTCTTGGCTTGGAAACTGAACGAGGACCTAAGCAACCCAAAGAGCATCTCAAAACATGGACAAAACAGTCCAGTGGAAGATTCTGAACAAGGTGATGAGCAAGCAGAAGATGCTCTGCAAATAGCAGTAAGATACTTTGAGAAAGGTAAGACAGATGGTTTTCCTTATGAAAGTCCTATTTCTATCAAATATTCTAGACTTCTTTGCTGTGAAATTTTAAAGGAGAGCATATTTTTGCTCATTAATGCTTTTCGCTGCTTAATAGATATTTATTGAGCTCTTACTACATACCGGTATGCTAGGTACTAGGTATACAACAGCAAAGCACGTTCCTGGCAGAGCGGTTTCCAAACTGCTGCACATTGGAATCACCCGAAAAATTTTAAAACACACTGATACTTGGCATCAACTCTTAAGACAATTGATTTTATTGGTATGAGATGCAACCTGGGAATTGGAATTTTGTAAAGGCTCCTAAGGTGATTTCAAAGTTTGGAAATCATACCCTAGTACTGGAACAACTTATAGTCTAAAATCAGTGCTTTTACTTAGTTTAGAGCAGAGATGCCAAGGCATGATTTAGTTTTCCTCACTGAAGGTGCTATTGCTGTTAAATATCTTAGAGTTCGATCCCCTAGACCACTACCACCACGATGCAAATAGAAGTAGGATATAAGGGAGCGAATGCCTGGGGGGAATGGATTAAATATTCTGTTATACTTGCATGGCAGGAAGGCTAGAGGCCAAGTGGTCCCATTTTCATTCAGATGGACCTTAGACAGTAACTGGATGGAATGTGTGCTTGCCCTGTGTCAGGAGGAAACCGCCTGGGGAAACGCTTCCTGTAAGACTCTCTCCTCTCTCCTTGTTGAGGTAAAGAGCAAGGGTCCCTCAAAACCATCTGGCCCCCATTCTCCAATGTAAACTATACCTCTGCCTCTTAAGGTGTGGGGGGAACAGTACTTGGAGTTTATGGGAAATTAATCTGGATGCATAAATGGCTGAGTATCCTCAGAAGCCAATCATGATGATGTTTGGTGGTGGTATGGGGGACCCTGACTTGTGGCCTTGCCCAGCAACTGGAGTGGACCTTGCACTCTGATAAAATTGGCTATCCCTTTCACTTTGGCATATTGTAAACCTTTCTCAATGGACTGACAGATTAGGAAAAAGAGAGAGTTCAAGGGGCTCTCCATTTATACACAGATCCCATGAGGAATGCCAAATGAGTTGAAGGCTAATCAGATTGCTGCAGGGTTAGAATCTGACCTGTTCTGGTGGTTCACTGTAAACAAGAATGTGGATTGGATAAATTATATTTACTATAACCAGCAAAAGCTTGTTAACTATACTCGAGATGCAGTTAAAGGGATAGCTGAACAACTAGATGCCACCAGCAGGATGACCTGGGAGAATGGGTTGGCCTTAATATGTATAATGTTGGGGGTCAGTGGTATACATTCATCTGACAGCACAGCCAATCGGAACCATCATTGAGGCCCCACAGGGATTGACAGCTTTAGCTAATGAGTTAGCTGAGAATTCTTAAATTGAGGATTCTTTCTCCAATTTAGCAATGGTTCACAGACTAGAAGGGAATGACAGTGGTGGGATATTATATCATCTCTCATGTATGAGTGGTCTTATCTAAAGGTTAATCGAAACCTCATTGACCAAACAGAAAAATAATCTTCTCCTAGACACTGCAGAGCATGAAAGTCAATGAATGTTAGCCCTGTTTGAAGAAAAGAGTTAAATAAGAAAAGGAGGAATTGTGAGAATAACCAAGTAATCTTTTCTGTCAAAGAAGGGAGTTTAGGCAGCCACCATTTGGGCTCCATGGCTTGCAGCTCCTCTGGAGGCTGCCATTTTGAAATGGCAAAGGTCAACCGCTTCCTTTAAATTAGCTGATCATGCAATACTGGGTGCCTAAACTCTTCCAATCAAGAGTAAGGGACAGGAACAAAAGCCCTAGCAGATGCCTGCTCAATGTGTGTGTGCTCCCATACTATGTGTGTGCACACCCTTCTGCAAGAGTAAAGATATTTGCCTTGAAAAAAAAATATTCTAGAGTTTGAAAAGCTTTGAAGGGCTTTTAGGAAGATAATTTATGCATAAAGCTATTCCTGTAAAGTATCCCAGATTGTAATTGTTGAGGCTAGAGACTGAATTTTAAAGGCCCCACTATTTAATATGGTTCCTTTTTCCAGGTCCCTTTAAAACTTCACGGAGTAAAGATAACACCTTGGAAAAACACTTGAAAACTGTGGAAAGTATGGCTTGGAAGAATGGTTTAGCTCCAGAAGAAATTGACATTCTGTTAAATGTGGCACTCAGTGGCAAATTTGGTATGTAAAGAGGATAAATGAGTTTGCTATTAGTTTTACCTCCCAGACTTTGATTTGGGTTGTTCATTGGAATCAGCTGCAGTTCTTTTTTTTCTTTTTTTTCTTTTCTTTTACCATTCTCTTTATAAAATAAAAATTGTAATTTCTTACATTCAAATAACCTTATGAACCAAAAGTTTCTGTGTACATATGTTGAAATGTCTAGTTATCACAAGTAAACTGTATAGACGCTTCTTACGAAATACATGGGAGGCATTTTAAGTATTTCTCTTAAGAAGAATACATATAATTTAAATAATGTTGCTGAAAGGCACCTTAAAATATAATATGGTCTACTTCATTGCCTTTAGGTTCACTTATCTATGACAGGTCCCTGTCGATGTTATCATCATTCTATCATCCATGACCTTAACAGTCAAGATGCTTTTAAATGTAAATGCTTCCTTTCCTATTCTAAGTTCATTTGGAATGGACGTGGGAGTGGGGTTCTTAGAAAGAAATAACATCTGGCCAGTATTCTTTTTATTTGAGAAAAATGTTTTAACCCACTCTCATTTACATTTAGACTTGGAAGGTATTTTAGACCCTGTACATCTTCATTTTAAAGGTGAGGAAATTGAGGCCCAGAGTCGTTAAAGAGACTTGCTTAAATGTCAGAGCTATCACTGGAGAATTCAGACCTCCTAACTTACCTTCTAGGGTTATTGCTATCGGTTTTTCTACCTGTTTTTTGTTTGTTTGTTTTGTTTTGTTTTGTTTTTGAAAATTAAGACAATTATCAAAACTGGATATTTTGTATACCATTTCCTGGTCCTTGCATATTGTATTTTTTTGTGTACACCCTAGCATCATGCTTATAGGGTTGTGTGTATTGTAAAGCAACAACATATTACTAGCTGAATTCAATATATGACTCCCAGGTATTTCAGTTCTTTGCTTTTACTTGATTAGTTCGCTGTGTTTTACTATAAAGTTAAATTTGACCTAATAAAATTGTATCTTAGCCTGGACAGCGTGGCTCAGTGGTTTAGCGTCAGCCTATGAACCAGGAGGTCATGGTTTAATTCCTGGTTAGAGTACATGCCCAGATAATGGATTCGGTCCCCCGTGGGGAGCTTGCAGGAGGCAGCCAGTTGATGATTCTCTATCATCATTGATGTTTCTATTTCTCTCTCCCTCTCCCTTCCTTTCTGAAATCAATAAAAATATATATTAAAAATATATCTTTAAAAAAAGATTTGAAAAAAGTTGGCTCTTTTTCTCGTAAGTGGTTTTAGATTGTTTGGTTCTAGTAACTATCCAGGCATCTGTGTTTAACTGATTAATTTCTATTAAGAACAATTCACTCTCTACCTTCTGCCCTTAAAACATATATAGGATGTACAGATATTTTCTACTTTAGAATTTCTCTTTTCTTTTTTGATATATCAGGAATTAATGGTTAGAAGGTTTTTATGACATTTGCCAGGCCTTATGGCAAATGCATGCCTCTTTCAAAATGCGGACTGAAAGGTCCCGGGTTGGATTCCGGTCAAGGGCATGTACCTTGGTTGCAGGCACATCCCCAGTAGGGGGTGTGCAAGAGGCAGCTGATTGATGATTCTCTCTCATCGATGTTTCTAACTCTCCCTCTCTCTTCCTCTCTGTGAAAAATCAATAAAATATATTTAAAAAACAAACAAAAAACAAAACAAAATGCAGGCCACAGACTTAGAAACTTGTATATATGATTTATTTATTTAAAATATATTGTATTGATTTCAGAGGGAGAGAGAGAGAGAGATAGAAATATCAATATCAATGATGAGAGAATCATTGATCAGCTGCCTCTTCCACACTAGGGATCGAGCTGGTAACCTGGGCATTTGCCCTGACTGGGAATTGAACCATGATCTCCTAATTTATAGGTTGACATTCAACCACTGAGCCATGCCAGCTGGGCTATATATGATTGGAAAAAAATAATCTCTAGCTTTTTAGTCTAACTTAATTTTTTGTTAACCTGGAATTTGGTGATGCCAAATGTGGCTTCCTTAACTGCTTTATTCCCCTTTTAGTTATATCTATGATATTCCCCATCACTATCAGATCTTTACATGTAACTCTTTTTGCTCAGTTGTAATGTGTGTTCAGGGACAGGTGTGATACAAATGTTATAATTAGGTGCAAAGAGACTTTAATTTTAGACTCTAGAAGTTAATTTCCAAGTCACTGGGATATAAGAATAGTCTGTATTGAATAAGCCCTTTGAATTTGGTACATGTGTAAAGTGTTAGTGGTCAGACTATTTTAAATTTTAGAAGGGTTAGGGGATGGTGGGGGGGGGGGGGAAAGAAATAAAAACAAGGAACCACAGAGTGGAAAGCAAAGGTTTTCATTCTTGTGATTCATTATCTGCCATCACTGCTTCCTTTCTTCTCCACAGAATGATGTAGAAATTGATATATATTGTTGCAGTTAGGATGAATAAATCTAGAAATCTAAGTGAAGTAAAGAACAGCCTTATTTCAGTGAATGGATGGGATCACCATGCTATAATGCATGTAAAATTGTTTAAAGACATGTAAGATGTTTCTAAGAATGCTACTTGTGGGAGAAGATGGGAAGACTATTATTATTCTAGTGAATGAAGGTGTTTGCCACACTTTATGGCTTTTAAAACAGAAGCATGGTTAAAGACACATGCATCCAAGATGTTTTTGAGAATTCTACTTGTGTGAGAAGTTAAGAGTAGTGTTTTTTCACTGAATGGTTATGCTCACCACACAAGAATGTGAATAAAACAATGTTTAAATACAAAAGAAGAAATTAATGAGATACCTATGTAATATAGGTTGTATACAAAGCTCTTTGCATAATCACTTCTCTTGCCAGATGAGAAGATATCGTGGAAGCCAGAGAATATTATGGAAAAGTTGGATCAGCTTAGAATATTACTGACATCTAATTCCAAGGATAGCTGTTCATTCTGCTATCCTCTCTACTTTTTTTTGGGGGGGGGGGGGAGTGGAGTATACAAATACATTTATTCTTAAATCTAGCAGTCCATGTAAGATGTCTGTCAGTAGCTTTAAATAAATCATAGTCTATTGTGTCATTAAAAATAGTAACAAAAGAATAATCCTTGAAATTTTCTGGTATTTTTTTGAGATATAATTCACATACCATAAAGTTCACACTTTTGAAGTACCCAATTCCTGGTTGTTGTTTTTGAAACACACACACACACACACACACACACACACACTCACAGATTTGTGCAACCATCACCACTCTCTAATTGCCAAACACCCCAAAACGAAACCCTGAACTCATCCTCCCTTTTCAAATAGAAACATTAGAGCCAAAATTTGCTTTATAATTTATATTAGAAGGTAAAGGTACATTTTTTTGAACTGTTTTCTAATGATGATAAAAGATGTCAAATGTTCATGTTTTTAAAAAAATATATTTTATTGATTTTTTTACAGAGAGGAAGGGAAAGGCATAGAGAGTTAGAAACATCGATGAGAGAGAAACATTGATCAGCTTCCTCCTGCACAGCCCCTACTGGGAATGTGCCCCCAATCAAGATACATGCCTTTGACCAGAATTGAACCTGGGACTCTTCAGTCCACAGGCCAATGCTCTATCCACCGAGCGAAACCCATTAAGGCTTGTTCATTTTTTTTTTATTGCATTCAATATTAAGTGAGATTTTTAGTACCAAGAGTGAAAAGAAAGGGTTCAAGATACTAAAATACAATTTAATTTAGAGTTTGTCTTCTTTTCAGGGAGTGCTGTAAACTCTCGGATATTGAGATGCATGATTCCAGCAACTCTCATATCAGAAGATTCTGTGGTTAAGGCCGTCTCCTGGCTTTGTGTTGGCAAGTGTTGTGGTAGCACCAAGGTAATCTTTTTAAACACTTTGATGATAAGTCCTTCAGAACCACTTAAGGGCTGGCAAGGACAAACCACTTATGGAATAATGACACTGGCCTTTTGTGCAAAGGCTGTGGTTTTGGAACAGTATAGCTTGATGCAAGGATTCTGTTCAAACAGAAATTTTTACTGAGAGAGAAAATCTACCAACCGGCTTTGTGCTAGAGGCTTCTAAAACAGCCCTGAGGAGGGGAGGAATTAAGTTCTTCTGTATCACATATTTCTCTAAAGATAAACATTTGTCTCTCAATAGGTACTTTTTTATCGTTGGCTGGTTGCAATGTTTGACTTCATTGATCACAAGGAGAAAATTAACTTGCTCTATGGCTTCTTTTTTGCTTCATTGCAAGATGATACACTGGTAAGTAAAAATTGAAGAGCATCATGTATCATTTAAGTGGTATGTGCTGTATATTGACACACCACATGTGCTTCAAAGTGCCACACGTGTTTTTCCTTATTTGAAAAGATAGCAAACATAGAAAAGTATAAAGAATAACATTATACCCTTGCACCTGTCTCAGATTAACAAATATCATTTTTTAACCATTTTTGCTTTATATATTCTTTCAAGGAAATACAATGTTACAAATATAATTAACTCTGCATTGGAGTCTCTTTGCTGACCGAGAGCAGTGATTGCCGTCTTTCCCCTTTTAAACCACTTACATGGTGTCCTTTGGGTCATTTATTCTACATTTTCTTGATTAACACTGCAAAATCCTCATCAGAATTAATGAGAGAGGGTTGCTTTTCATAATATGCCAGTAGATTAAATTTGATTAAATAGCATAATTACTCCCGTTGAAAACATGAATAATTCTAAGAAAACAATCTACTGTCCACGTGGAAGACTTCAAAGACCATCGTCGCAGACCATGTGAACCATTCATCTAACCAAATTCCTCTCATTTTTAAAAATTGACATTTCCACTGTGTTCGTTACATTGCACTAGGCAGTGCAGAAGATTAAAAGTTTAGCAGATGGTTTCTTATTTCAGGGATTTATACTCCATTTGGGGGATTAAGGAAAGCACATTAAGTTAAATAACTCAAGAATTAAGTTATCAAAGACAGTATATACCGTATTTTTCGGACCATAAGACGCACTTTTTTCCCCCCAGAAGTGGGGGGAAAAAGTCCCTGCGTCTTATGGTCCAAATATAGCCTACACATATACTTTTTAAAAAAAGTTTTTTTACTTGCCTGGCTCTGTGTGGTCTCTGTGTGCTTGCCCGGCTCTAAAATGGTTCTAAATGCTGCTGTTTACTTTACAGGGTTGATTACATGTGTTTATGACTGTGATGTTGGGTTTTAATGCACATAAAATATTTTAGGACACTATTTGTTTCAGAATCTTTTTTTCTTCATTTCCCTTCTCTAAAAACTGGTGCGTCTTATGGTCCGAAAAATACGGTAATAGTGTGAGGAGAATAATTGCTGGGATATTTCCTGGAGGGCAGAGAAAACTGTAAACCAAAGTGATTAGAAAAAGCATTATAAAGTGTTTGGGTATTGAGCTGTGCCTTGAAGATTGAATAGGATTTGAGATTTGATAAAAAGAAATGTTTGATAGGAATATTTCAAGCAAAGTTGTGAGATGTATAGACTGTATCTAACTGACTGACTTACAACAGTTGGTGTCAGGTGGTGGTGGGTGGTAAGGTTTGAAAAGTTGGGTGAGAAGAGATTGTAGAGGTCTCTGTATGTGATGCTAAGGAATTGAACTTTATCCTATATGCAGTGGGGAAATCATTGAAAATGTTTGGGCAGAACATGTTGAAAGGAACATTGTAGGAAGCTGTATCTAGTTATGCCAAATGGTACGACCTAGGAGGGAGGCCAGAGTCAGGAAAACTATTATAGTTAGGGGACTAATATGGTAATCCAGGTACAACATGAAGTTGTAGACTGGCGATTCTCAAATGGTTTGTGGTCCCTTTGAGGCTCCCTGAAACCTTTGAGGAGGTCTCAAAGGTCAAAATTATTTTCATAGCGTACTATTTTCACTGTGTTTGCATTTGCACTGATGGTGCTAAAGCAATGTTAGTTAAAACTGCTGGTGCCTTAGCCCAAATCAGGACAATGGACCCAAACTGTACTAGTGGTCATTGTATTCTTCACTTCAGTAAAAAACAAGAATGCTAGTTTCCTTAAGCATGTCCAAAATGAGGTAGTAAAAATTAACTCATTAGTTTTATTAAATTTCAACCTTTAAAATATGTCTTTAATATTCTGTGTGATGAAATTGGAAGTACAAGTAAATCTCTTCTGCATACCAAAGTACAATATGTATTTTGAGGAGAAGCACTTGTATGATTGAGTTGAGAGCTAAACTATTAGCCATTTTTCATGAAATATATACTCCATTTGGGGGATTAAGGAAAGCACATTAAGTTAAATAACTCAAGAATTAAATTATCAAAGACAGTATATAATAGTGTGAGGAGAATAATTGCTGGGATATTTCCTGGAGGGCAGAGAAAACTGTAAACCAAAGTGATTAGAAAAAGCATTATAAAGTGTTTGGGTATTGAGCTGTGCCTTGAAGTACAATATGTATTTTAAATTGAAAGAATGACTGACATATAAACTGTTTATTCAGACAGGCATTTGTCAGACAGTGAGCCTGTCATTTCAAAGAAAAGAAATGACAATATTTGTTGCCAATGATAAAATTTGAGCTTTCAAATAAAAATTAAAAGTTTAGAAAATTTTTATCTGCCATTGCAAACTTTATAACTTACATAAAGACTTAAAGAGCCCTAGATGCTTTGGCTCAGTGGATAGAGTGTCGGCCTGCGGACTGAAGGGTCTTGGGTTCGATTCCAGTTAAGGGCACATGCCCATGTTGTGGGCTGGACACCCATAGGGAATGTGCAAGAGGCAGCTAATCAATGATTCTCTCTCATCATTGATGTTTCTATCTCTCTAACTCCTTTCCTCTCTGAAATCAATAAAAATATATTTTAAAAAATACTTAAAATACTATATTGATGAGATTGGTATTAATGAATGTGATTTTTATTTTTTAAGCATTTTTGTTGTTAATCCTCACCCAAGGATATTTTATTCATTGATTTTTTTATTTTTATTTTTTGTAGAGAGAGTAGAAGAGAGGGCGGGGGAGGGAAGAGAGAGAAAGAGAAAGAGAGAAAGAAACATTGATGTGAGAGAGAGAGATCGATTAGTTGCCTCCTGTGCCACCTGGCTGGGGATCGAACCTGCAAACCTTTGGTGTGTTCATCAATGCTTTAACCACTTAGCAACACCAGCCAGGACATGAATATGATTTTTATTTTTATTTTTTAAACTTTAAATACATTTTTATTGTTGATAGTATTATAGATATCTCCCCTCATTTACCCCCTCCTCCAGCCCTAACACCCCCCCGCCCACATCTTCACTACCCTATTGCTCGTGTCCATGGGCTATGTGTATAAGTAAATACATTCTCTTCTCGTGCCCCCAGACCCATATCAAGGTATGTCAGTTTGTTATGAATGTGATTTTTAGATATTGTGTAATTAAATGTGTCAGTATTTGGAACTCAGTGAACCAGTATATTCTAGAGCACATGTGTCAAACACAAGGCCCGCGGGCCAAATCCGTCCCGCCAGGCCTTGCAGTGTGGCCCGCACCGCGCTGTCATCACTGCACTCCGCTGCGTTTCCATCACAATGACACTTTATGACTGTTCAGTAAACCATTCGGCCAGCGATTTAGGCTGGATTTTAGATTTTGGCCCCTTCTCTGATTGAGTTCCACACCCCTATTCTAGAGGATATAAAATTATGCATAAATAAAAAATTCATTCAAAACGCAAGATATATCAATGAATTTTAGTGGAACAGAGTAAATGTTCACTGATAAGGTTTCATAATCCACATTGCTGCTAACCCTTAAGTGTGTCGCGCCAGCACAGCCAAGGGTTTGGCGAGCCTGAGGGAGGGCTGGTGAAGGATGAAGAAAAAGACAAGGAGAATAAGCTGGGTCTTGCTGAGGCCACAGAACAGATCCAGACTGTAAGGTTGATGCTTTATTTATAGTCAGAGGTAAACAAGGTAATTTACAATGTTCTTGTAAGTTTCCCTTGTTTTGGTAGCACTTGCTGTCCCTCCCACAGCCCGCTAGCTACCCAGGAATGGACCCAGGAAAGATCTAGGGAGCAGTCACAAGATCAAGCTTTATGCTTCAAGAACTGTGCCCTCTAAGCTGAGACTTGTTTGTGACTTTGCCAGAGGTCAGTCCGAGGCTTAACTCTATAACTACTCCCTACATCTTGCCCTTTCTTTCAATTTTAAGCTACTAATAATAGAAGCAAAACTTAAACATCAAGAACAAAGTTCTGACTATTAAAACATTAACAAAATAATGCCAATGCAAAACCCAATAACAAAACAATGCAAATGCAAAACCCAGACATGGCTATTAATAAAACAGTGCCAATGCAACACAACAATAATAGAGAAATCAAACTACAGTAACATTTTTCTACTAAATGAAAGTTTCTTTTGTGGATTGACTCAAGAGTCCTTGGACTTGGCTGTGAAAGAGTTTGCAGAAGACTGGCAGCTAACGAATGCTAGCATGGCCAGAAACATGGTTGAGGGAGTAGCTTCCACTTCTCGCTTTTCTGCCATCTGCTGGGCCTCAGTTAACTTCTTCAGCTGACCCCATGTTGGCACCTCGGTCTCTTGCATAGCCTTCGTCATCTTCCTTTTCCGCTTTGCTGTCATCGGGGCAACTTTCAGTCTTTTGAACGATGGGACAAGGAGCCTCTTTGGGCCCATTGTGGTGACGTACATAACACTCTGGCACCCAAATTGGCTGTGCTGCTCCTTCTGGAAAGATACAAACACAACCTCTTCCCCACATCATTACTGGATCTGGTCCAAACCATTGTCTAGTTTTTGCATCCTTCCATCGGGCTAACCCTGCAAATGCTATTGTACAGGAGGTCCGATGCTTTTCGGCTGCTGTACAAGCCTCTGCATCGCAATTCAAAAAATTTAAAGTATAAAGAACATGACTGAGTTTGTTTTGAGGTGACACATAACATCTGTCTCCTCTTTCTGTTTTAATAATTGGATTTTAAGAGGAGTATTTGCTCTTTCCACAATTGCTTGACCTTGAGGATTGTAAGGGATACCAGTTTTATGACAAATTTGATATTGCTGACAAAAATGTTGAAAAGCAGAACTAGTGTATGCAGATCCATTGTCTGTCTTTAGCTCTAAGGGAGGACCTAGTACCGCAAAGGCAGCTAGGCAATGATTAATTACATGCTTGGCACTCCCTCCTGTTTGGGGAGTGGCAAAGATAGAGCGGGAGCAGGTGTCTACATTGACATGCACCCAT